CATTCAATGGCTATTTATTTAGGACATATAGAAATCATACCGAATGGGTCTAACCAAATTATTCCTAAGTTTTGACAACCTTTGTTTAATTATAATTTTATCCCAAAATTTTTAATATTTATATTTTTGTCCCAAATCAGGACTTAACTAGAAATTAAATTTTTTTACCAAATTTAACTTTTAATTAACCCGTTTATTTCTCTTTTACGAAAATATAATTCGAGTTATTATAATAACAATAGGAGAATGTATTTGTCATGTTACATGACAAATGAATAGCTTTTATGTTAAGAAAAAGACAAATTATATAATATTAAAAAAATAAGAGAACGCATTATTCAATAAATTTATCTTGTCTTTTTCTTAACATAATAACTATTCATTTGTCATATAACATGACAATTGCATTTCTCATAACAATATATGATTCAATCACAATATAAAAAGCTAAACAACCGTTAAAATATCGAGGATACAAATATGATTTTCAGAAATTAACATTCCCAATAAAAATGTAACATTCATCGTGTGTCTTGAAAAAGATCTTCCTGATCATCATAGTTATCATCGTCAGCTAGATGCTTGAGTTGATTTTGTCAATTTAAAACAATTGTATTGTGCTATTGGACCGGTGTTAGATTGTCCATCGCCCTTTTTAAAGATCTAAAATCATTTGTCAAATTTTCCATCCTTTTCTTTTGTGCCTTGAATAGTGTGCCCACTTATTCCCGCATTATGTCTTTAACATTTTATCTCGCATCGTCAAATTCTCGCATCGTATACCAATAAAATTGAGCAATGAATTCATTGATTCTTTAGTTAATTGAATCCGTTAAGCAATAAAATTGGGGGCGTTTGCGTAGAAAATCATTTTTTTTTTATTAATTACTGATATATTCTTTTGTTCTAGACTTTTATATTCTTTACTTATTTGAATTCGTTGAATGGTTTTTCATATTGAAATGTGTACAATTGGTTGGTGTACATAAAATGTGTCCCATGGAGAGTGAAGTATGTTGATATAGGAGGTGCTCATATTGGCAATGGTAGAGACCAAAACACTAGTGAAGCTTCTCATGGTGTGCATAAAAAGGGGTGTGTGAGAGTGGCTAGGATTGCTCTCCATGGTAGCAGCGCATGAAGCTGAATGGAGGAGGAGAGGTCCCCTTTCCTCAATGTGAGAGGGGGTATTTAGAGTAAGAGCTCCAGTCAACCTAGTCAGCCTAGCCTTTTCAGGCTAGGTATGTTGAACCCCTGCCAGTGTGTAGGGGCAGCCATGTGCATGGAGAAGAGGGGGCATCCTTGTCAGGCGGGTCCAAGGGGAAGCCCGTGGCGGGGGCCACCACCAATGAGCCAAGGCTACACGACCGTAGCAAGTGGATCCGACACCATTTCTCAACCCAAAACCTTAAGGCATAGGGTTCATGGGTCCTTCCACTTATATACTCTTCACTTAGCCTATTACCAATCAATGTGAGACTCATCACACTTACAATCTCCCTATCAAGTGTGAAACCCAACATTGGTATGCTTCCCCTCAAGCGAGTACCCCAGGGCCAAAGTACTCCATTCGCCTCCTAGCCAAACACCTGGCTAGCTCGAGCACAACCCGGCTCTGATACCAATGTCAGGCGGGTCCAGGGGAAGCCCGTGGCGGGGGACCACCACCAATGAGCTAAGGCTACACCAACCGTAGCAAGTGGATCCGACACCATTTCTCAACCCAAAATCTTAAGGCATAGGGTTCATGGGTCCTTCCACTTACTTATATACTCTTCACTTAGCCCATTACCAACCAATGTGAGACTCATCACACTTACAATCTCCCCATCAAGTGTGAAACCCAACATTGGTATGCTTCCCCTCAAGCGAGTACCCAGGGCCAAAGTACTCTATTCGCCTCCTAGCCAAACACCTGGCTAGCTCGAGCACAACCCGGCTCTGATACCAATGTCAGGCGGGTCCAGGGGAAGCCCGTGGCGGGGGACCACCACCAATGAGCTAAGGCTACACCAACCGTAGCAAATGGGTCCGACACCCCAAAACCTTAAGGCATAGGGTTCATGGGTCCTTCCACTTATATACTCTTCACTTAGCCCATTACCAACCAATGTGGGACTCATCACACTTGAATATTTCAACAATCTCCCCCTAGACCCGCCTGACATAAAACCTTAAGGCATTGGGTTCATGGGTCCTTCCACTTATATACTCTTCACTTAGCCCATTACCAACCAATGTGGGACTCATCACACTTGAATATCCCCACATTTATTAAAAAGAGAAAAAGAAAAGAAAAACTTTGCACGCAAATCGAAGGGTCACAACATGAGAGTTTAATTCTCATGCAACATGAGAATTTAATTCTCATGCAACATGAGAATTTAATTCTCATGCAACATGAGAAAATGTTTTTCCTTATAGGGATTTGGTTTTCTCATGTTGCATGAGAATTGAACTCTCATGTTGTGAACGATATTCAAGTGTGATGAGTCCCACATTGGTTGGTAATGGGCTAAGTGAAGAGTATATAAGTGGAAGGACCTATGAACCCAATGCCTTAAGGTTTTGGGTTGAGACGTGGTGTCGGACCCACTTGATATGATCGATCTAGCTTAGCTCATTGGTGGTGGCCCCCCGCCACGAGCTTCCCCTAGACTCGCCTGACAGCTAGGAGGCGGGTTGAGTACTTTGCGCTTGGGGTACTCGGTTGAGGGGGAGCATGTCAATGTTGGGGAGCATATCAATGTTGGGTTTCACACTTGAGGGGGAGATTGTTGGGATATTCAAGTGTGATGAGTCCCACATTGGTTGGTAATGAGCTAAGTGAAGAGTATATAAGTGGAAGGACCCATGAACCCAATGCCTTAAGGTTTTGGGTTGAGACATGGTGTCGGATCTACTTGCTACGGTTGGTGTAGCCTTAGCTCATTGGTGGTGGTCCCCGCCACGGGCTTCACCCTGGACCCGCTTGACATTGGTATCAGAGCCGAGTTAGGCTCGAGCTAGCCTGGTGATTGGCTAGGAGGCGGGTTGAGTACTTTCCGCTTGGGGTACTCGGTTGAGGGGGAGCATACCAATGGTGGGCTTCACACTTGAGGGGGGAGATTGTTGCGATATTCAAGTGTGATGAGTCCCACATTGGTTGGTAATGGGCTAAGTGAAGAGTATATAAGTGGAAGGACCCATGAACCCAATGTCTTAAGGTTTTATGTCAGGCAGGTCCAGGGGGAAGCTCGTGGCGGGGGCTACCACCAATGAGCTAAGGCTACACCAACCTATGAAGCATCGACACTTCAAAAATCCTGACGTGTCGTGTCTGACACTTCCCGACACTCTCGGACACTCCGACACTCCCCGACACTCCAACACGCGTTATAGAAATTTAAAAAAAGGTTCAAAGGTTATGTTGTATTGAGTTTTTAGTTCCAACTATTAGATTTGTTAGATTAAGATTACTATTTTATTGAGTTTAATATAAATATTTGGGAAATCTTATATTTTTTTGCAAATATTATGAATATTATAAGTTTAAATTTATTTTTTTGTTAAATTATTGAATATTAAATATAATATACACTACATAAATTAAAAATATTATTTAATATCAAAACGTGTCCTAACGTGTCGAAATCTAACATTTTTTTAGAATTAACGTATCGGAGTGTCGTGTCGTATCGTGTCACGTGTCACGTGTCAGTATTGGAGCTATATAGACACCAACCATAGCAAGTGGATCCGACATCATGTCTCAACCCAAAACCTTAAGGCATAGGGTTCATGGGTCCTTCCACTTATATACTCTTCATTTAGCCCATTACCAACCAATGTAGGACTCATCACACTTGAATATTTCAATAATCTAGTGTGAAACCCAACAATCCTATGACATCTTTTAGAAGTGGGTCTTTTAAATTGGACCCAGTAATAAACCTATGCATGTGGGCTATCCAGAACAAAATGAATCAAAATAAATGAGAAATTGATCATGTAATATGAGAGAAGTAAAGAGATAAATCTCTTTCCAATATACAATTTGAAATTTGTTTCAAATATTCAATAATTTAATTTCGAAAGATGAGGTTCATATTTTTTTTTTGTTACTGTGTGCTCTTTTGTTATTTTGTGGTCCATTCCTTAAACTAGAAAAAAAATCTCAGAAAACTATAATTTCAAAAATATCTCTATATTGGCACAAAATTATAAGTAACATTGTTCACAAGATTTTTTTTTATTTCTAACTATTCCATAGAACCACAATTTTTTTGATAATTCTTTTAAAATATTTTATATTTTGATAGCCCATATCTTCAATTTTTTTTCTCTGTTTATAAACCTGTTAGTAAAGAAATATTTTCCTAATTCCCTAATAATATTTTACTAAAATTACAAGTAACAGTAATCCGGAGTCCTAATTGGTGGCTATTTTCTTTCTTATGTTTCGATTTTAAATCTTGATATGCAGTAATATTAAAAATTTAGTTAATTTTTTTTTTGACATCACTATAATTTTTTATGATTCTAACCGCATTAATTAAATAAATTTTTTATAATTCAAACCACATTAATCGAGTAACAAATTAATTAGTTAGAGAAATAAATAAACGAAGGGTTCGCTTTTTCTGCCGTTACTGCATATAACTTATCTGCAGTAAGCTCAATACGACGTCGTTTTGGGGCGGAAATCTTAGTATTTTTATAATTTTAATTTATTTCAATATTATAATAATCTTTATATTTATAATTTTTTAAGATTTCAATACCAAAACAATGTCGTTTTGAGAATAAATGCAGATAATTTATCTGCATTAATTGCATAAATATTTTTTCCATAAATGAAATACTAATATTGTCATGACATTAAAATAAAAATCGGGAGAATAAATATTTATATAGTTATCGAGAGTTATTTGTTTCTACTTTGGTAGAATAAATATTTATATAGTAATGACTTATGAGACTGATTTCTTTCTACTTTAGAGATGTAGCAGTGAATTTTGTAATGAAAATTTAGCCATAATTCCCAGCCTCTGTGCCAAGCTCTTCACTCACTAGTCTCTCAACCTAAACCTATCACACTTTTGCGACGTCGTTTTCTTCAGCTCAGCCTTTGTATATCGAGGAGGAGAACATAAACAGAGTACAACGCCAAATCAAAGGTACTGTGGTTTTTTTGGCTTGAATTTTTTCAATTTGTTAACTTTTTCCAATTGGGTATCTGAATCCTGAACATGTTTTTCAATTTTGTTAACTTTTCCCATCTGGGTGCGCGAGTTTGTGTGTGAGTGAAGAGGGTTCCTTCATATTTTTCCTACGATGCTTGCATTTTTTGAATTTTTAAGACCTCAATTTGTGTCCTACTATCCTTGCTTTTACTTGAAAGGAGAAAAGAAACTATAATTATGAAATCTTTGGTCATGTAAGTTGGGTTTTATATAGCTTGCTCAATGAAAAATGTTTAGAATATTGTGCTTGTAGTTTCTTATTGTACTACATCATAATAATGCTAAATCAATTGATAATGACTTTTAAATCTTAAGTATATTTACACAGGAAATTTTCATTTAGTGTTCATCAACAATGGCCAGATGGGATGCAATCCTATCTCTTCCAGTACAAAATCCTCCCACATTGGAATTTTCTTGTGTTGACCTAGTTTGGTCAAAAGTGGAAGGATGGCATGATAAATTAGATAGAGTTGCTCTTATCCCATTTCCTAGAGTTGATGATTTTGTGAGGGGTGAATCTAATAATAAAGAATGTCCTACAAGATTTCATGTTGAAGCAAGGCGCCGGCGGTCTCCATCAACGCCTTTCAAGCCAAAGGTTGATGGCATACTAGAGTATATTTTGTAAGTTGTAACTGTGTTTATTTAGTATCAATTATTTGTTGCTCTTAAGGGAGAGAACTAGAGTAGTGGTAAAATTGTTCTTTCATGACCGAAAGGTCATGGGTTCGAATTCAGGAAATAGTCTCTTTGCAATTATGCAAGGTAAGGCTGCGTACAAGGATTACTACCACCCCACACTCGCTAGTCGGGTTTAACGGGGAGTGGTTTTTTTTATTTTTTTATTTGTTGCTCTTGTTTCTTGTACTCCATTGTAATGTAGATCAATGTAGGTATTGGTGTTCCTTTGGTCCTGATGACCACAGAAAAGGTGGGATTGTACGACCAAGTCGTACTACTTATGTTCCAAAGAAGAAAAATGCCGGCCGACCTAATACTAAGAGAGGTTGCACTTGTCACTTCATCGTGAAACGCCTCATAGCTGAACCGTCAGTTGCCCTGATCATTTATAATGATGATAAGCATGTGGATAAAAAGGGTTTGCCATGCCATGGTCCACAAGACAAAAAAGCAGCTGGAACACGTGCTATGTTTGCCCCATATATCTCAGAAGATCTCCGACTTCGGGTTTTATCTCTTCTATATGTTGGAGTCTCTGTGGAGACCATTATGCAGAGGCACAATGAATCAGTTGAGAAACAAGGTGGTCCATGTAACCGTGATGACCTTTTGACCCACCGTTATGTTCGACGACAAGAGAGGGCAATCCGTCGTTCTACATATGAGCTAGATGCTGATGATGCTGTAAGTATCAGCATGTGGGTTGAAAGCCACCAAAATCATGTTTTCTTCTATGAAGATTTTTCAGATTCAGATCCTTTCTCTTTGGGCATTCAAACTGAGTGGCAATTGCAACAAATGATTAGATTTGGGAACCGTGGTCTGCTTGCCTCGGACTCAAGATTTGGTACAAATAAATTAAAGGTCTGTTACTTTCTTTTTCCCTTGATTTATAAGTAACCTGAAACATATTTGGTTTTGTTTAGTTTCAAAGAAACTAACAGGAAGCACATTGATAATTTCATACAGTACCCAATTCATAGTCTTCTAGTGTTCAACTCAGACAAGAAGGCCATTCCAGTGGCTTGGATAATAGCTCCAAAGTTTTCATGTTTGGATGCTCATCGATGGATGAGGGCTCTTTATAATAGAGTTCACACAAAAGATCCTTCTTGGAAGTTGGCTGGCTTCATAGTAGATGATCCACAGTATGATGTCCAAGCAATCAGGTTGGTTCAATTTCTCTGTTATGTTAATATTCTTTATTTCAAACTTGAATAAAATTTAGAAGAACATTGCCAACTTCTACTTGTCTCTCAAGTTTGCAATGTGGGAAACTGAATAATTTCATTATTAATTGGTGCCTCATTATGAAATATGAATCCTTCGAATTTAATTTTGTCCAAAAAATTGGTTACAGGGGGATGTGCTGAATATTTTAAATGCAGATGCTTTTTGGTTCTCAGATCATCTAATGACCTCTTCCTATGTTTTACCTTTTCTCAAACCGAAATTTAATACTCACTTTCTTTATTTCTTTATTTCACTTGAGGCTAATTATCTTAAAAATTGAACTTAAATTACATATTACTAAGCTTAAAGGATGGTGAATTGGATTGAAAATATATTTTAGTCCTTGATCTTGGTAATGAGATATGGTGCTTGGCTGCTTGCATGGTTTGCATCTATTACAATGCTGATGACTGGTTCAAATGTTGATTTGGAACTTGGAAGTCTATTTGGCATTTCTGAACTCTGAAACCTTGTGTTTTTCTGTATCAATTCAAGGAATTTATTTTTTCACGATTTTCTTGAATAACAAAAATATATTCTCTATATACTTCTCAGGGAAGTATTTCAATGTTCAGTTTTGTTAAGCTTCTGGCGGGTTCGTCATTTATGGCATAAAAACATAGTGAAGAGTTTGGAAACTGGTATGCAAATAAAAATATCCAGACAGCTTGGGTGGATTGTGGATAATATTTGCCGCGGTCAAGGAACCATGTCACTCTTTGAAGATTTCATGGAAGACTTTATTGATGAATCGAATTTTATGGACTATTTCAAGGCCACCTGGCATCCTAGAATAGGTTAGTAATATCTATCTAGATGGTGGAATGTAATTTTTATTTCTTTATTTATTTCTTTTTTGCATATTTAATTGAGAAATAATACTACAGTATGGCCACAACCCATTATAATTGTACCAGTTTGTATTACCCTTATGCCGTGGAAAGAAAGGAAATATCAGCATTTACTTTGAAACTAGTTTTTACCCCAAACAAGATTTTGATTTCAAATTCTGCATGTGTTTATGAAACTTTTGTTTTAAAAGTAAATAAAAATTAGTACTTTTTAAAAAAAAAATTATTAATAGTATTAATTTTCATATATTTTTTTGGAACCTGCAGACATTTACATCTGTTTGAAATACATATACAATATAGCATATTAAATAAATTAATTAACTATATTCACTGTTGGAGTCATAAAATTTTAGTTTTGCAAAGACACATGGAGTGGCAAATTACATTTTTAATCGAGATAGTAAAGTTTTCTCAAAATAATATGGATTCATTCATATTATGGTAAAGATTTTATTACTATAACAACACAGTTGATCAACATGACTGATGCCAATATATTGTCATGATGAATAGTTTCAATCACCAATTATAATAGTTTTGGCAAGGCTATGTAGTTTTAAAAATTGACTATAATGTAAATAACCATTCTGAAAAATACATAATTTTACTGGTAGAAGATATAGGTGTGACTATGTGGTGTTCAAGATTTGTGATCCAACTATGTGCAAGATCTTTTGCTGTTGTTGCTCTTATTGGATGGGCAAAGTTTCTAAATATTATGTGCTTATTAACTATTTGTGTGACTGTTGCCGTTACTTTTATGTGACTTAATATTTGCAGGATATTTGCTGAGTATTTGTCTGTTAATATGTCTATCAGGTTAAGGATAAGATCATATTGGTTTTAGGGGATATATTTATGATACGATATTGTTGCTATTGCAAGTTATGTACATTGAAATTATTTTTTCCCTTTGATGCAGGAACATGGACCAATGCACTTAAAATTCTTCCTCTTGCTAGCCAGGAGTCTTGCGCTGCAATTGAATTTTACCACAACCAAATGAAGATCAGGTTGTTGAATGAGAAAGACATCAGTGTTTATCAGCGTGCTGATTGGTTGGTTGACAAGTTGGGTACAAAAGTCCATTCTTATTTCTGGCTTGATGAGTACTCAGGTAAAGATGATTTTGCACGATATTGGAAAAATGAATGGATGAGTGGTTTGACGTCATGGCGTGGAGCACTGAAGATTCCAGATACTGATGTCTTAATGGAAGATGAATGCGCTAAGGTTACTGACCAGAATGATCGAAATAAAGCTTATGTTGTCTGGAATCCTGGTTCAATGTTGAGCATTTGTGATTGTTGTTGGGCACAAGATGGCAACCTTTGTGAGCATATCCTGAAAGGTCTTAGTATCTGCCGAAAGAGAGAGTCCATTCTACCATCTATCAGCTTATTTCAGTATCACCAGGCGCTAAATAACATGCTGCATTGCCCACCCTTTGATTCTTTAATCCGTGATCACGCTGTATCATTGGCGGTTTTAGTTCAGAAGCAGTTAAATAGCGTACTCGATAAAGAAAGTGTCCAGACTGTTGAGGAACCGAATGAGAAACGGATCATCGTTGATATCCACCAGGAGAGCTCCAGGGTAATATTTGCTAGCCAAAATCAGGACTTAGTTAGTGAGAAGCATGCCATCAATGATGTTTTATCTCAGGATGGTGATGGCTGCGACGATAGAAGCGAAGCTCCTCAATGTGCAATGAGTGATGTTGCTGATCAGGTTGTAGATCTTGGCAGTACTAGAAATGGCAAACCATTTGAGAGTGCTGGAGAGGAAAGTTTACCTGCTGTCATGGATGTTGACCCATCATCAATTTGTGATGATGTGACTCTCTCAAGTAATGCATTCCTAGAGAATAAAGAGAGGGGTTTGACTACCACAAAAAATGAGAGTTCAGCTTCCAAAAATGGTGCTCTTTCTGATGATAAGATTGAAGAATGTATTGTGGATAAAGGTTGCAAAGATGATGTTATGGATGTGGATCCCCAACCTTAGATACCCCCTCATTAACAACAGAACATCTGAAGCATTGTGAAACACATCATAATGGTGTCAATGGTGTTCCCAAAGTTTATTCTTGCATGAAAGATGCTGATAGCCACTTGAGCTCCCCTTCATGATGTATGGCTGTTGAGCAACTTGCACATAATTTGGTTGAAAATAGAGGTATAGTCAAGGAGGATGTGAATTTGGGATCAAATGCATGAATCAATACACAGATGTCAAGTAGATATAGATGCCAATAAAGATATCAATTAGTGGGACTAATACATTTAAAATCACCAGCACTCAATCATTACAGGTCTAGTTAATGCAAAATAAAGTTTTACTATGTTGAGGTTGATAACTTGCATGAAGCTGTCAATGATACTGATGTTGCTGACAGAACTTTATCAGAACAAATTGCTGAATTGAAGCTCTCTTTGGATTTTTCCTTGTTTACAAGTTACCAGTGGATACCAGAGAAATTATATTTATTCATTTTTCAATAATGAAAATTGCGTTGATTAGCTAAGCTACTATACCAAATTTCCATTGTAAAAATATGAGGCCTAATTCTATGTAGTTTATATTTAATTGACCAAGATATTCTGATATGTCATGTAGAGGAAATAGATGTCTGCGGATTGCTTCCTTCTTCGGTTCCCTAAAGCATATGGTACTTGTTATATGAAGAAACTGTATTTGGTGAAGTTATATGTTTAGCTTACACCCGTCTTTCTTATTTATACTATTGAATTCATTTCAAGAGGGAAATAGGTGACTTGGTAATTGATCAATGATAAAGTATAACATCATCATCACTTCATAGTCTTAAAAGACTAGAGGATGACAATTTAACCATAATTTTTGGGTTTTTATTTTGATCTTAGCTACTCACATATTTTAGTCTTTTGACTTTTCTTCTCGCCACCTCTATTTAGTTGTGTTTTTTTTTTAATAAATATTGAATTTAAAATATTGTCTTATTAATATTCGGTTGAGAGAAGAGAAGTAAAAAATGATAAAAAAAAAGTCAACCATTATTCAAGCTAAATTTGTGCTGTAAGAGCTAATAATAAACCCAATAGTCTATAATAAATTTTGCCAAACTCAAGAAAAGAATGGCAATATTATTGGATCATATCAGATAACTAAACACTGAAGATTTTGACAGAGTTGTAATGACTTACACAGTTACACCTTTGTTCCATATACATTCCCCATAGTTTCTAAAATCCTTCCACAAATAACAGCACATAGTTGTTGCTCCGCGTCTGCTAATATCTTCAATAAGATACTCTGACTTGCTATTATAGCAATAAATTATTCTCTTTTCATATGATTATAATTATAGTCTCCACTCACCATCCATATCTTGGTCCGTGGGAGGGACAACATTGACAATCGCCTCTCCCAAAACTTTAGTTTTTTATTATTATTATTATTATTATTATTATTATATATATATATATATATATATATATATATATATATATAATGATATTTATCTAACAATAATAGACTATTAGACAAAACTACAAATATTTAGCTCCTCCCTAAAAAATATTTGTAATAATTAGTTTAACTTATTATTCTTAATAACATTTATAATTTTAATATTTTATTTTCGCAACCATCATAAAATATCTTGGGTCTCCCGTTGGCTCCACATCTGTTAATATCTTCTAGAAGAGAACTCTATGACTCGGGATTATAGCAACAAATTATTCTCTTTTCGTATGATTATAATTAGTCTCCACCCATCCATATATATATATATATATTGATTTTTAATTTTTGATTGCGGTACTAAATAATAGAGTAGAGAAATAGAGTTTGTTTTTTGGTTCCGCAGGTTAAATTTGTAGCTGAATCATATAATATTCAAATTATAAACATAAACAGTTCAATTGTTCGCTCCGATTAAAACATGGTTAAGTAAGATTATTAACCAATAAATATATGATCATTTACTTTAAGAATGGTAGCTATGAGAAAAGATAGATACTAGAATAATTCAAGATTAATAAAACTAAATCACATTTCAGGATAATAAGGACAAAACTTTGTGAAGGATAAGAATTTCTCATGTCACGGGACTATTTTGTGATTTTTTTTCTTTATTATATATATATATATATATATATATATATATATATATATATATATATATATATATATATATATATATATGTGAGAGGATTTATTTTTGTGCGGATGAATTTGAGGTTATTATTTAAAACATTTAATATTGACAAAGCTGCTGAATGCGATAGTATTGTTTCTTTGATTGGCTTTTTGACTTTTGAAAGAAGTTAGGTGATTTAAATGTGCTGATAGCAAAAGAAAGGAATATGATGATAAGGGAATAGCGGAAAGGTCCTCCTGACAAAGAAAGCAACCAGCCAAAGAGGTATGTATGTGAGCTTGATCCAGTGGTCAGGCATATAATCGAAATTACTTTCTTGCCCTCTTCCATGGGATCAATTTACTGAAATTTTGTTATTTCTTTCTTTCATGGGCAGGCAGGGTGTGGAAATCGGAAAAGGTTTGTAATAAGACAGTTTCAGCTTAGCGAGAGGAAGAAATACATTTGATTGATATGGAACCAGAAATGTTTGAGTGGATGAACATAGAGCAGAAAGAGAGATTTTTAACTTTCCAGTTTCCATAATGAAAATCAAATTCTTAGACAGCATAAGTTAAGTGGAAGTCTCTCTCTGTTACTGTAACAGCGAATAATTAAATAATCAACGAATAATTGAACCACTTTTTTAGACACTAAAAAAATAAATAAATTTATCTTTAATTTTACTTGTCAGGAAATCAATATATAAAAAAAACACTAAGAATATTAGTAGATAAGATTTTACGTGAAAAGTTCAATTAAAAAAAATGAAGAGCTCTTTAGAAATCCATAATATTACAAAAGTTATTTTTTTGAGAAAATAATTTTACTATAAGTTATTTTTTTGAGAAAATAATTTTACTATTATTTTTTCTAAAAGTTCATTTTTTCTGTAATCAATGTAGATAAGTTATCTACATTGAACTTAAAATGACATCGTTTTGTGACAAAAATCAAGATATTTTGTAATTATAATTTATTTCATAGTTATAACAGTCTTTCTCATTATAATTTTTTAATTTTTTAACCCAAAACAATTTAGTTTTGAAAATGAATGTAGATAATTAAACCCTTTTTTCCAATTTCCTTACACTAGAAATGCTCTGACACAGTTAATTAATGTTTGTTCGTTTGGATTTGAACAAACATGATTAGTGTTACAGGATTTTTTATGTTTTTTTTTTTGGTGTACATATTTTATGCTTTTATTTGGTGCCCTAATAAATTTTTATCTAGTGTGAAAGCTAATAGCTACCATAATAATATGTTTTTCCATGTGGAAAAACAAGTAGCCTAATGTTTGAAATTAATAGCTTCCGTACCATGATTGAAATTAATAACCAACCACAAAAATTAAATCAACAATTTCAACAATCATTTTATAATTCTTTTAATGGCGAGGTGATCTATCTTTTTATTTATTTATTTTGTTTCATTTCCGGCACCCAAACCTAAGATGGCATCATGACTTGTTTATCAAAAAAAAAAAAAAAAAAAGATGGCATCATGACTTGTTTTTATTCATTATTGCCTTGTACTGTAAAAAACAATATTGAAAAGGAGCAAGAGGGATATTCATTTGATCTTTTCCACGATCTATAACCATCAGAAACAATTTGGATGGGAAAATTATGTACATAATATTAAAATATGGCTTGTTAAAAGGAAATCCATTGATCACTATTGATTTTGCTACTGTTGATACAACTTAGTATTTCGAATCTCATATATAATAACCTTGAGAATGTGTGGGGAATATGCCCATACATTGTTCGTCTTTGACATTCTTAATATATTCATCATACTAGATGTGGTGTCATTCTTTCCCAATATTATAAAGTATTTTTGTTCTTTGGAAAAAATATTTCTGTAATTATTACAGAAGTTTTTATCTACCATATATAATGTATTCTTTGAAATACATGTGTAAATTTTTTAAACGAATTCTATTGCATTAGATCCGCTCATTTTTGTGGGATACACTATACTACTTTATTTGTGAGAGTAACAAACAAAATTTTCTGCACTAATCGCAGAAAAGTTAAGCCATTTGCTTTTATATATAAAAGTTTAGGAAAATAAAAGGTTGTTCTATTTCTAAGATTAAGAAATCTTATAAGATTTGGTAAAGAATAACAAGCTTATCCGACACATAATTGTTGAAGCTTCTTGATGATTCTAGTTGAGCCCATTCTCATCATCTATTAGTTGTTAATTTTGATAATATATGTTTCATGTTTATTAAGTATATTCTATAATTAATAATTATATTTGGTATCAAATATAGTCAATTTATTTATGAGCATTTACTTAAAAGCTTATAATATCGATAATTCATAAAGAAAAGAATCACAGTTTATTTTTCCAGTTAGTTTTTAAATTATTTTGAAAATGGGACAATCAATATGCTTTGTGTTGGTTGGGAGCTTTGTAGAATTCTTTAACTTCTATTCAATGCAAGGAGACGAAAATCACCAAAATGGCATCAGTTTGGGGATTCTATTTAGCTTTTTTCTCAATTTGAGTATTAGATTCCTTTAGTATATGCTTGCAATTTCTACCATTTGTGGAAGCCATGAAACTTTGTCATGTTGCAATTGAAGATGAACTTAGTAACGATTTCAAGAAAGCAACTTTGCTGAAATTAGATGCTAGTTGATTAAAAATCATTTTTACATAAATATAAACTATATCAAATAATATTTTATAAAAATTACAAGTTGTTTCTTATCATTTAAGTAATGTTTATGTCTTTTTTTTATTATCTATTCTAACATAATAATTCTTAAACTTAAGTTTGTGTTATGAATCCCAATTTCTTTTGTTTGGTAACCGTATCACTATTAGTATTTTCAATAAAATTAAATTACAAAACTAATTGAAAAAAAGAGAGGAAGGGAAACGAAGGCCCATAATTAGTGTTTGTTTCTCAGGAACATTTTAATTCAAAAATGAGAGAATTTATGACTTACGGAGTTTTCCAGAAAGAGGATGAAACGTGGTCCCCATTCAATTTTCCTCATCCCAGCTGTCGTCCGTCCGATGCAAAACAAATCCAACGGTCCAAATTGCTCCACGACCTAACATACCAACCTTTGATTAAGCATATTCGACATGGTTCACGTTGCTCCACGATCATCATTTTTGCACCGTCAGATCTAAAAGATCCAACGGCCAGAGTTGTGCATAGAACCACAGAACGTGGCAGCGGGAACAACTGAAGAGAGAGAGAGTTGAGTTGAGTTGGCGAAGATATTGGAGAGGAAGATGGAACAAAATGGTGGAGTGGTAGCTGGGTTGCGTGAAAGGAATGAACTTGTTCAAGTTAGGCACGGTTCGGATACTGAGGTTAATGTTTCTCACATTAACTTTTTTCTGAACACTTCAGTTCATTGTACTTTTGATGATGACTATGTGCTTTTTTTTTAGTTTGAGAGTTATGTTCTTTCACTGATTATGGTTGCAATGAAAATGGGTGGTGGGAGTTTTAGTGTAGAGATTATTCAGAAGTGGCTTTTTTATTTTTTATTTTAACTAAGCATCTAAATTCTTCTTCTTTTTAGATTTGTTGGTAGAAAATGTCTGCAGTGTCTATGACTTAGTTAGGATTGTTGGATCTTGATATGTTTGATTGCTTGTATATGCACCCCATTTAACTGATGCTTTTCTATTGATGATTTTAATCTGATGTTTGTCTTAATGGGGCGTTTAGGAAGGGAATTTGATGCTTGAGTTTAAATTTCTAATTTGGCCACTAATGTATGAATCTGAATCAATAGAAAGTAGGTGAGAATTTAGAAGTTTGTCACTGAAATTGCTCAGGCAGAATTGCCGGTCGGTGCCATTTGCACTTGGCAGATTAAGATTGTAACTTTCAGTTGGGTAGTGTTAATGAAAATTATTAAGAAATGTAATTTGATTATCTGATCCTGATGCATTTCATCATTAATTTTGTCTGACATCATCATGGCTATGATGAAATCTATCTTGTTTGCTATTCTAATTTGTGCTTATATAATTCTAATTCTAACTTGTATAATTTGTATACTCTGCAGTCTAAACCCCTAAAGAATTTGAACGGTCAAACCTGTCAGATATGTAGTGATACTGTTGGATTAACAGTCAGTGGGGATGTCTTGATTGCTTGCCACGAGTGTGCCTTCCCACTTTGTCATTCTTGTTATGAATATGAGCGAAAAAATGCGAGCCAATCCTGTCTTCATTGCAAGACTAGATACAAAATTGAAAAAGGTTAGCTTGTGCATATATGTTATTTTGGTTTTGGTCTGTTGCTGATTAGAATTTATAGTGAACAAGATGAATCTGGATTTCAGATAGTCCTCGATTGGAGGGAGATGATGACAATGATGATGATGTTGATGATCTAGAGAATGAGTTCAACTATGGCCAAGGAAATAATACCAATGCAGGGATGCAATGGGAAGAAGATGCTGACCTCTCGTCATCTTCAGGACATGATTCTCAAATACCGAATGCCCATCTTACAAACGGACAGCAGGTAATGTGTTATTGTACTGGAAAAAATTTGTTAGTGTACATATAAACTCACAATTGGTCAAACTTGCTGAGGCTCAGTTAAACTCGGATAAGCTTGAGTAAAGTTCGAAAATTATGAAAACTTTGAAGATCTTACTCTACTTTTTCACTTTGTAGGTTGGGATTTACTTGTGTATAGCAATGTAAATTTTATTTCTAGTAAGCAATTATGTATTTATCACTTAGCTTTATTAGATATCGGTTATGATTATTTGGTGCTTCATTTTGCAGTAAAAAATTAATATTAACTAATTGTCATTTCATATGGGCAGATGTCTGGTGAGATTCCATGTGCTATTCCTGATACTCAATCTGCGCTAACTACGTCAGGTCCTTTGGGTCAATCTGAAAAGATTCGGTTGCTTCCCAACGTTGATGCAAAGAAACCGGGTATGTAGTTAACTTGAAATGATGGTAGCATATAACATTTTATGTTTATTATGAATTCTCAAGTGAAAATTTATTTATTATTATAGTTACTGCAAGAGTTTTATACCCATCAAAGGACTTAAAATTCTTATTTCTTAAAGTTGAAATAAAAGATAAAAGTCTTTCATATCCTTTATCTTGTGTTTTTTCATTAAGTAAATAAAAAGTTTATCTTGATTGTCCTAGATAATTTACTGGGGTTTGAATGTTAAATGAATTTCGCATAATCCAGTTCTTGAGAGTGATGAAGAGATCCGAAGAGTGCCAGAGATTGGAGGTGAATCTGCTGGAACTTCAGCCTCTCGTCCAAACACTGGTTCAACTGCTGGTCCGGATCGTGTTAAGGGGACAGGAGAGGGTCAGAGGAAGAGAGGGAGAAGCCCGGCTGACAAAGAAAGCAAGCGGCTAAAGAGGTATGTTTGTAAACTCAGTCCATTTTGGAATCTGCTCAATGCTATTTTCTTAGCATTGATTGATTTCATTTTGTAATTTGCTTGTTTCATTGGTGGGGTGTGAAAATGGAAATAGGCTACTGAGGAACAGAGTCTCAGCTCAGCAAGCAAGGGAGAGGAAAAAGGCATACATGATTGATTTGGAAACAAAAGTCAAAGACTTAGAGAAGAAGAATTCAGAGCTCAAAGAGAGACTTTCAACTTTGCAGAATGAGAATCAAATGCTGAGACAAGTATGTCAATTTTGCTTGTTTAGCTACCATGCCATCATCATCATATCATTATGCATGTTTAGATCATCTTCATCATGATCACCATGGTGATGTTATTGTTCTTTAAATGGGCTTTGTGTGCTGAGTTGCTTTTGATAAAATTGATACACCAAAACATTATAAGATGGCATCATTACTGGCTCCTATATATTGTTGATTTGTACTCTAAATTGTTTTTAGAATGTAACAAAGGGGATATTCATGTTATCAAATCCATGATTTATAGCCGTCATTATCAGTTTATTCAGGAATTTTATGTATATGATATCAAATATGGTTAAGGAATTTATATAGCATATGCATTTCTTGGAAAACCCATTGATCAGCTATTGCTTTTTCTTGCCTAGTTTATGTAATTGTACTTGATTGCTCTTTGCAGATATTAAAGAACACAACAGCAAGCAGGAGAGGGAGCAATAGTGGTACCAATAATGCTGAATGAACTTGATGACAAAAATGGCGAAGAAAACTTAGAGCTGGATTAGATGTAGAGAGAGCAAATTAGCAAGAAAGAGAGGAAAAAAAAAAAGAAGTTAAAAAATTAGTCTTGGTGATTCTTTCTAGGTGTGCATTTGGAGTATCATGAAGTAAAGAATGAACCTCAAGACATGTATCCTAAAATGGTGTGGTCTGACGTGGAATTGCATTGTTTATACCTCATTTTCTTAATCACTTCTCCTTCTTCTTTTTCTTATTTTTTTTTTTTTTGTCAAATCTAGTAGTGTGTAGAGTGACTTGAGGTTTTGGAATAATGGCACTAAGGCAGGGGTAATGTTTGGTTAATGCTATTTATATAAACAATTTTAACAGACTCCTAATAGACCCAATTTTAACCCATTACAATATTTTAACTACTTAATTACTTAATGGTAGTAATTTACTGATGAGATCAGGGTTAATTGATAAATCAATTATCAAACATTTAATTATATTACTAATGAAATTATGCAAGGGTAAGGTTAAGGATTACTTTCATTCCACACTTGGTAGTCGGGCTTAACGAGAAGTGATTTTTTTTTTTTACTAATGGATTTGAATGAGACGACTATTAATTTAATGGTTTACTATAAGGTAAAACCTAATGGTAACTACAATTACTCATTTCTTTAAGGCACTGGCTCTTGATAAGGGGTTCTCAAGTTCTAGCAAACTACTGCCACATTTCTTCTTTGGTCAAGGCAACCACTACTGTTTTATGGTTGTGGATAATGGTGTTAAATATGAATGGATCCATGTGACATGAGGTCCGATAAATCAAGGGTTATGAAGAGCTTATTAGGCTAGGGAGCGAAAAAGGAAACAAGATGTATCACATGATCTTATATGAAATGATCCCCTTTCGAGTATGAATAAACAGTAGTTCAAATTTTGATTTAAATATCTAAGACCCAAATATATTGAGGGCTTGGGGCAGGAAAAGAAGAATTAAAGTCCATCAGTGACTTAAAAAAAAAAAAGGTCCATCAGTGACTATAAAATAGTTATTGATTTTCATACATAAATTATTTTAGTTTATATATATATGCAATATGATCGATCATTTGACACTGGTGTCAAATTTTAAAATTTGCACTAAATCCTAACATTTGATTTTTGCCAATCAACAATTATTATTTATTGAAAATCAAACTTATTAATTAGCTCAACACGACGTCGTTTTGAGGCGGAAATCATAGTGTTTTTGTAATTTTAATTTATTTCAGGGTTATAATAGTCTTTATATTTATAATTTTTTAAGATTTTAATATCAAAACGACGTTGTTTTGGGAATAAATGCAGATAACTTATCTGTAGTAACTGCAGAAACATTTTTCCCATACATATATATATATATATATATGGGAAAAATATTTCTCAAACAGCTTGAGATAAGTTTATCTCCAACTACCCCAAAACTACGTCGTTTTATTTATTTATTTCTTTATATTAATTGATTCAGCTTTGAATGATTATGATTCCCTTTTTCTCTCTCTTCCTTTATCACCATTGATCCATCTTTGTACGGTTATGATTTACTAGCTGGAGATAAGATTATCTCAAGCATAATCTGTTGGATAAGATTATCTCAAGCCCTATATATATATATATATATATATATATATATATATATATATATATTGGTCGACTTTTTCTGCCATCACTGTAGATGCTTTTTTTGTAGCAGACACAGAAAAAATGGGACCCATTATTTTTCTTTTTCTTTTTTTTTAAAAAAAAAAACCATAATCTGTTGGCATATCTTGGTTTTTTTATTTGTAACTGCAAAAGTTTTTTTTTTTTTTTTTTTTGCAACAATAATAAAACTATATTTCCCTATACATGTGGAGAAAAACATTTGTTTTTTTAAAGGATATAACCTTGTGTCATTTTAGATCCTAACCGTAGATTTTCGTCAATCAACGGTTATAATTTATTGGGTCAAAATTATTAATTAATTAATAATAAGTTTGGCCTATTAAGTTTGATCCAATAAATTATAATCGTTGATTGACAGAAATCAACAGTTAGGATCTAAAATGATATAAGATTTATATATTTTAAAAGGATAACTATTTTTTCCATAGATACACACACACACACACACACACACACACACACACACACACACACACTCAAATGATTGTTATAGGAAGACAGTGGGTGATATTATATCACTAAGATGTTTGAACCCATGTATAGACTAGAAGAGATTAATGATCAGAATTACAGTGCAACAGTAAAATTAGAACAGACTTACAGGATATCAGATAGTGAGACAGAAGGATGAAGTATGCAATATGATGAATTAAATCCGAGCCCACAGAACGTGTCTCCTTAAGACAATTTGCCCCATCACTGATGCCAAAGGTTGATGGACAAGAGTCTCCCAGGATATAACAGATTTTGTCTGAGAAGTGGTGGCACTACCAGTCAACAGCCCAAACGAACACAACAATTGCAAGAGGAAGTACACCGGAAGTATGAAAGGAAAATGCAAAACCGGATGAAAGAAAAAATCCGGCAGAGCAATAGTGCATAAAACCGGATAAAATTTCTGAATAGGTCAAGGTATATTTATAGATACTGACCGGTCATGATGAACCGCCGGCGGCGGTGAACCGCCGTGACTAACAGTGGCGAACGGGAACGACCGGTGACCGGTTCGGTGAACAGGTACAACCGGTGACCGGTTCGGTTCAAAGCGTTCAAAAAAAATCGGCGGTAGAAACATTTGTGTTTTGAACAACCTGAGGGAAGCAATGGATAGTCATAGGGGCATTTTGGATAAAAAATTAAAAAATTATTTAATAAAAAATTATTTTTATTTCACACACACGTACGAACCGATCCGATCCGATCTGAGCTGTGCCGGCCGGACAGACGAACGGCGATGGCGGCGCGTGTCTGTGTGTGGTGGACCTAAGCCCACCTAGCTCCTCTCCTCTCCACAAAATGTGTAATGACCCAAGGGCCAATTTAGGAGTGTGAGGTGGGAGCTTATAAACTCTCTCCCCTCCTACTAGTTGTCCAATGTGGGACTTCTTAAACCCACTCACCCCTTCAACTTCCCCTTTCTCTTTTCTTTCTTAACCCACTTCTTTTTCATAACCAATAGATTGTCTATACAATTTCTACATAAACTCCAACAATCCCCCACATGGATAATAAGTCAATTCATCGTGACTAAAATGCATAAGAATTTAAATGAAAATGTAATTTCCTCAATGAGAAACAACTGCATCAAGATAGGTAGAGTTACCTTTGAACCTTCTCTAGTGAAAACCTATCGGATATACTCACTCAATTGGTGCTCTGGGCGACTTGAACCGTCGACCTTTAGTGTATACCTAGATAATAGGAGTCACACAATTGCTTCTCTAGCATTGTTGGTCCTTTGCTGTGCCCATTTTGGCCATGGGACACCTGCCTGGTTCTGAGTGTTTTTAGAGAATCGGCCTTTAAAAAATTCTCATAGAAGCGGCCCTCACTTCACACTCACATAGGTGATTTCTTATGATGTAACTCACTATACATCATCTGAACATAACAGATTAAGAAATAATTAAAAGCCTAAATCCTTACCCTCATAAATACACTGTCTTGTCATAGGAATGAGTATGAGTTTGAAAACTCCACAGTGTCTTGACAGTCGAACATCACTTGTCTTTTTGAACCTAGTTCGTGGGATCTCCATTCATCTAGGTAGAGTTACCACAATGATCAACAATTGATAGGCCTTAAACCCATTCCTTTTGACAAATTGTCAACCAATTCTCTAGGAATCCCTTTGGTTAACGGATCCGCTATGTTCTCTTTAGACTTAACATAGTCAATTGTAACGATTCCATTCGAGAGTAGTTATCTTACGGTATCATGTCTACGACGTATATGTCTAGACTTAACGTTATACATGACATTCTTGACCCTTCCAATAGCTGCTTGGCTATCACAGTGTATGCATACGACTGGTACTGATTTTGGCCAATCAGGAACATCCTCAATAAAATTACGAAGCCATTCGGCTTCTTCACCGGCTTTATCTAAAGCAATAAATTCTGCTTCCATGGTTGACCTTGCAATCCAAGTCTGTTTTGATGATTTCCAAGACACAACACCCCTTCCAAGGGTGAACACATATCCACATGTGGATCTAGTGCCGTTAGAGCCGGTGATCCAATTTGCATCACAATACCCTTCCATAACTATGGGGTATTTCTCGTACTGCAAAGCAAAATTTTGAGTGTACTTCAAGTATCCCAAAACTCTTACCATAGCTTTCCAATGATTTTCATTTGGATTACTAGTAAAGCGACTTAACAGACTTACTGCATAAGCAATATCAGGTTTGGTGCAGTTCATAACATACATAATGTTTCCCAACACTTGAGCATATAGCTTTTGTGTTGTAGCTTTACTAGTGTTCTTTAATAAGCTAAAATTAGAATCTACGGGGTTTTTCACAGGGGTTATATTCAAACTTTTGAATTTCTCAAGAATTTTAGCTATATAGTGAGCCTGTGATAAGACCAACCCTCCAGATGTTCTATGGATTTTAATACCTAGGATAACGTCTGCTATCCCCATATCTTTCATATCAAATTTACTTTTAAGTAATTGTTTAGTAGCTTTAATCATTTGATTATTGCTACCCATTATCAACATGTCGTCTACATAAAGACAGACAATGGCAAATCCCTTCTCAGTATTTTGAACATAGACGCATTTGTCACATTCATTAATTCGAAATCCATTTGATAACATAACTTTATCAAATTTTGCATGCCATTGTTTTGGAGCTTGTTTTAACCCGAAAGGGATTTTATTAAGCGACAAACTTTCTGTTCTTGTCCTGGAACAACGAAACCTTCAGGTTGTTCTAAATATATCTCTTCTTCTAGGTCGCCATTTAAGAAGGCGGTCTTAACATTCATTTGATGTATTTCTAATTGATTCAATGCAACTACTGCGATCAACATCCTAATGGATGTGATCCTTGTAACAGGTGAATAATTATCAAAATAGTCGAGACCTTCACGTTGCTCGTAGCCTTTTACCACAAGCCGAGCTTTATATTTATCAATAGTTCCATTTTCTTTCATTTTTCTTTTAAATACCCACTTACTTCCTAAAGACTTATTGCCAAGAGGAAGGTTTACCAATTCCCAAGTGTGGTTAGACAAGATAGACTATATCT